CCTTGCGGGCGCAAGCACTTCTCGAGCCAGAGGACAGCTCCTCCTCGGACTTTGTCGAGTCGCCCGAGGAGTCTTCGCCGGAGGTCTCCGACTCCGATGGGGGCCACCCTTCGAGTGGCCCCGACGATCGGCGCGGAGCTGGCGAGGCGTCTCCGTCCCTCACTGTGACGTCGGGTGCCTCCGGAGAGCTCGACACCACTGGGGTGCTTGCTGCTGGTCCGAGCTCGCCTGCTTCCTCCCCGGCATCGGTCGGGTCACGCCGGTCCTTGGGCATTGCCGCGGCGTCGCCGCCGTCACGGGCGGCTAACACTGACTTGGCTACCGCTGACTCGGAGGCTAGCGAGGAGGACTACCTCGAGCGGTACCGTGTTCCTGTGTCCAGCCTCCCTCCGTCCGCTGCCCCAGGCGGACCCCCGGGCAACGCCGGCTCCTTGTCGGCGGCTGCCCTTTCTCCGTCCGCGGCCGCCCGCTTTGTGGCGGCAGCGGACGTCTCGACTGACAGTGGTCAGTCGGCTGCCTCCGGGTATCGCGTCTAAGGGATGTTATTCCTCCTGCGTGCTCCTGCTGCTTGTTGCTTGATTGCTTGACCCTTCGGCTGCTTGTCGGCGCGGCTTCGCGCTTGGGCTGGCGATGCCGCGTCTGGGTGCCAGCAGTGCTGGCTCTTTTCGGGCTTGTGTTTTGTGTGTGTTTGTGCAGCTTCTCGCTGTGGACTGTGTACCTGCCGGTTCAGCTTGTTCCTGCTTTGTTTTGCTTGAGGCACTTTTTACCTTCTGCCAGTAAATCCTATAGCTTGTTGCTTGATTGCTTGACCCTTAGGCTGCTTGTCTGCGCGGCTTCGCGCTTGGGCTGGCGATGCCGCGTCTGGGTGCCAGCAGTGCTGGTTCTTTTCGGGCTTGTGTTTTGTGTGTGTTTGTGCAGCTTCTCGCTGTGGACTGTGTGCCTGCCGGTTCAGCTTGTTCCTGCTTTGTTTTGCTTGAGGCACTTTTTACCTTCTGCCAGTAAATCCTATACTCCCTCCTGCATGCTCCTGCTGCTTGTTGCTTGATTGCCTGACCCTTAGAAGGCTTGTCTGCGCGGCTTCGCGCATGGGCTGGCGATGCCGCGTCTGGGAAGCAATAGGATTTACGTCTGGGTGCCAGCAGTGCTGGTTCTTTTCGGGCTTGTGTTTTGTGTGTGATTGTGCAGCTTCTCGCTGTGCGCTGTGTGCCAGGAGGTTAGCTTGTTCCTGCTTTATTTTGCTTGAGGCACTTTTTACCTTCTGCCAGTAAATCCAGTGGGCAACCGTCAGCAGACCCGGCATCGCCAGCCCAAGCAACAAGCAGCAGGAGCATGCAGGAGGGATAAAATCCCTTAGACGCGATACCCGGCAATCAAGTAACAAGCAGCAGAAGC